CCGCTCAAAATGCCCAGAGTACCTCAGTAGCTCAACCCTTACCTAAAAGAACCACTTTCCAAATTCCCATCCCTGCAGAGCACAATGTGCACGGTTCTGAGCTGGACCATTATAAGGAACAAGAAAACGAGTGGAGGTCAAAGAAAGAAGTAAATGTCGTCATAAAAGAAGAGACTAAGAAAGCCACGAAAGAGCTCTAATGCATCCCTAATGTCGCCGGTCTTAGTTATGAATACTTATGTATTCATCCAAATTTGGACCTTCCAGAAGGGTTTAAGATCTCGAAGTTTGACACTTTTGAAAAAGAGGGCAACCCTATGACTCATTTGAGATCCTACTGTGACCAGCTCGTGGGAGTTTGAAGGGATGAAGCTCTATTGATGCGGCTCTTCAGCTGAAGCCTGTGTGGAGAATCTCTTGAATGGTTCACCTCGCATGAAACCAGGCAATGGACCAGCAGGAATGCAATGGTCAAAGATTTTACCGATCGATTCGCCTAAAACGTAGAAATTGTTCCAGATCAATACTCTTTGGAAAAGATAAAACAAAAATCAACCGAGAGCTATAGGGAGTTTGCCTATAGGTGGAGAAAATAAGCGGTGAGGGTGAGACCACCCATGTATGAAAAAGAAATTGTAGAAGTGTTTGTGCAGGTGCAAGAGCCCGAGTATTATGATCAAATTCTGTTGCTCGTAGGAGAAAAGTTTGTTGAGATCAAAGTTGGTGAGACTATCGAAGATGGGTTGAAAAAGGGAAAGATAGCCCGTGTTGCTGTATCACCCAGATCATCAGGCATGTTGATGATGAAAAGAGTAGAAATCAGTGCTATTTCATATGGGGGAAGGAAAACTACCAGAAGCTCGTCATATTCCCAAAGTCATTCTCGGCCTTCTTAAAATTCCTTCCAAGCTTTCTACACGCAATCTAGTCATCCCGATAATTTTCCAATTTATCAAAATGCTACCTCCACTTATCCAAACATCCAAGCTCCATTATACCAAACTCCACCCCAATTACAAAAATTCATCTCTCATTTATCCAAATCATCCTCCACCCTACTAAATTCTATCTCCCTACCAGGGTGTTGCTCCCAACTATGCTAACATGCAGTCGAGCTACCGAGTACCCCCTCCTGCGTATCAACTCCAAGCTTCATCATAACAAAATCCCCATCCGAGGTACAAAGCTCCAATGCCAAACCACAAAAAATAAATTCATATCCCAGGAATCAAACACCCCGTCTAAATAATCGAGGTTATCAACAAATGCCTCCCTCACAAGGAAGTTATGATCCCCCTTGACCTCGGTTCAAGAAGAAACCTTCGAGGAATTTCACAATGCTCATAGAAATACGAACAAAACTGTACGAGCGACTGGATATATTCACCTAGTGAGGCCCAAACCCATGGATATCAATTCAAAATTCTATAGGCCAGATAAGAGGTGTGATTATAATTCCATTAGTGTTGGGCATGATACTGAGCACTGTATCAACCTCAAGCACAAGAATAAGGATTTAATCGACCAAGAGGTGGTTTCTCTCCAAACAGCTGCACCTAATATCAATACCAATCCTTTGTCGAATCATGGAGGAGGCAACGTCAGTATGATAGAAACAAACGATTATTGGTGTGGGATGAAAGTAATAACTTCAATCGTTCATAACAAGTTGGAAAAGGCTGTAGCTGCTTTGAGTATCAAAAAGAAGAAAGAGTTTGTTATCTTGACACCCGCAAAGGTTGTTGCCTTGATGCCGTCAAAAACTCTTACCAAGCCAAAATTTGTGATTGAGACTGATGCTGCACAAGGTATGACCCGATCTGCGAAGATGTTATACTCTTGAGAAGGTTGCTCTTGGAGGTCAAAAGAAGCATCAAGATCAAAGGCCAATAAGCGAGGGTCAAGCATTTGGAGAAGACTCTAGCCCAAATTTCTAAGTGGGCCCTGTAGATGAGTTCTCAATCGCACAGGCAGACTTTGATGAAGGCTCTTGATGATACCTATGTACCTATCGGCACAAGCAGCGATAATGTGTCTACTATGATTAACAAAGTTATCCGATGGCATCAGATTAGTTTCTGCGACGATGAGTTACCTTTTGAAGGGAGATCACACAACAAGGCGTTGCATATCACTGTAGTATGCCGCGAGAAGGTGGTAAATCGCGTTTTGGTGGATGATGGATCTGGTCTGAATATTTTCTCATTGTCGACGTTGAGGCAGTTAAGGTTTGACTTGGGAGAACTTGAAAAAAGTCAAGACAACATGAGAGCCTTCGATGGAGTACAGAGAGATACATTGGGAGCACTGAATCTTATCATCCAAATGGGTCCAATAGAATTCAGTTCACAGTTTCAAGTCTTGAACATTGACATTATCTATAACCTTCTTTTGGGAAGCTTTCATCCATATGGCTGGAGCTTTCTCTTCTACTTTGCATCAGATGGTGATCATTGATTTGATATCGCGAGGTACAGATTTCTACATTGTGGGGCTGGTAAATGCCACCGGTGAAGACTTAGCCACAAAGATTCCCATGTGTGTCATGTACAAGATGATAGCCACTGTGATGATACAAATTGGATTTGAGCCAGGTTTCGGATTGGGAAAAAATTTCCCAAGGAATTGTTGAGACCATTCAAGTTCCCGTCAAAGGGGAAAGGTATGAATTGGGGTGCGTCCCCATAGATGATGATGAGAAGACAAAGAAAAAGAAGAATCAAGCATTGGCCAAGACAATCCCTCACCTATATAAATCCTTCTCAGTCCATGAATATGTCGATCAGAGGACCTTAGGGAAGGAATCTATGGCCTTTTTGAAGAGATCGATGCTATCATTGAAGTAGGGGTTGAGCTGACAGGATTTCGTGATGCTAAGACAGGAGATATGATGCAGAACTGGACCTCCACTCCCATCCTAATCTCCTGAACACCTTGGTAGAAGGGCATCATTTTATGCATAATTAAATCGGTCGTTGTCCGTAAGAGTCCTGAGACCCACCATTTTGCATTTCTTTTAAATGTTTGAATTTTTAATTTTCCATCATGATGTTTAAAAGGGAAACATGACCTGGTCCATGGACAAACTTTGTACCGTTTTTTTCCAATTTGAATGACAACATCTTTTATTTACTCCTCTGTTATACTTTGCTTTCCTAACTTTGTCAGGTTATGGTTTTAGTAATGTAAGTTCTAAACCTACCAATGTCATGTCATGTCAAGAGATGAATGAACAAATTGAGGCTGGTGATGACGAGGTTGATGATTAAGAAGAATAATGTGAGGTATCAGACTATGTTTCCATGGAATTTTGGCAGTTTGAAATTCAGCATAAACCAAATATAGAGCAGATCGAAAAAGTAAATATGGGGGATTCGGAGTGCGGTAAAGAGGTTAAGATCAACATTCACTTAAATGAAACTCATAGAAAGGCCTAATTCATTTGTTTGCTGAATATATTGATGTGTTCGTCTGGGAAGTCGGTGACATGCAAGGGTTGAGTACCAATTGTATCTAATAAACTGACGACTAATCTGGGTTTTGATCAAGTGAAGCAAAACGATCAAAATTTCAAGCCTAAATTAAGTTTAGACATCAAAGAAGAGATCACCAAGCAGATCGAATCTCGACTGGTGGAAGTTACACAATACCCGACTTGGTTAGCCAATATTTTTCCGATTACCAAGAAAGACGGGAAAATGAGGATTTTTTTCGACTACAGAGATCTCAACAAGGCTAGCCCAAAATATAATTTTCCATTTCCAAATATTCATATTTTGAATGATAATTGTGCTAAGCATGTAATGCAGTCATTTGTGGATCGTTACGCAGGTTATCACAAGATTGTGATGGATGAAGAAGATGCAGAAAAGACAACTTTTATTACACCTTGGGGTTTATATCATTACAGAGCAATGCCATTTGGCCTCAAGAATGCTGGTTCTACCTATATGAGGTCTATGACGACTATATTTCATGATATGATTCATAAGAAGATTGAGGTGTACATAGACAATGTCATAATCAAGTCCCGTGAGAGTTCGGATCATTTGAAACATTTAAGGAAGTTCTTTAATCATTTGTGTCATTACAAATTGAAGCTAAATCCCCCCAAATGTGCTTTTGGAGTACCAACCGACAAGTTGTTGGGATTTATAGTCAGCAGAAGGGGTATTGAGCTCGATCTTCTACGATTAAAGCAATTCAAGAGTTACCTCCGCCGAAGATGAGAAAAGAGGTGATGAGCTTCTTAGGGAGGTTAAACTATATCAGTCGATTCATAGCTCAATCAACCGTGGTGTGTGAACTTATCTTCAAGCTCCAACAAAGTGGACTGAAAGTGTCATATTGCTTTCGACTCTATCAAGAACTATTTGTCCAACCCGCCAGTATTGTTTCCTCCGCGAGAAAGGAGTCCTTTGTTTTTGTTTTTGTCCATCTCGGATAGTGCATTTGGATGCGTACTCAGTCAACACGACGAGATCAGAAAGAAGTAAAGCGATATATATTACATAAACAAGAAGGTTACTCCATATAAGTCTCGTTACAATATGTTGGAGAGAACGTGTTGTGCTTTGAATTGTATTGTCCAGAAGTTGAGAAATTATTTTATCTTCTTATACTACGTACCTCATTTCCAGAGTGGACCTGGTGAAGTATATCTTCTAGAAGGCAATGCCGACCAAAAATTAGCTAAGTGGGAAATGCTGTTGAGTGAGTTTTATATTGTGTATGTGACTTAGAAGGCGATAAAAGCAAAAGCCTTGGCTGATCATCTTGCAGAAAATCCCATTGATAAGAGTACGAACCGCTTAAAACTTATTTTCGCGATGAAGCAGTGTCATTTGTGGGTGAAGATATTTTTGAAACATACCCCGGTTGGAGACTATTCTTTGATGGAGGGGCAAATCATCACAGTAAAGGTATTTGAGCATTCTTAGTGTCAGTGTCTAGTCAACACTATCCCATGGCGGCTAAACCGATTTAATTGCGGAAACAACATGGTCGAATACGATGCTTGTATTCTTGATTTGAGAATAACCATTGACATGAATGTCCACGAGCTATTGGTTATTGGAGAATCAGATCTATTGATTTATCATTTTCAAGGCGAGATGGCCGTGAAAAACCCTAATATTATACCTTACATACAGTATGTACAGAAGTTGTGGAAAAGATTTTGTAATATTGAGTTCATACATACTCCCAGAATACAAAATGAGTTGGCCGATGTTCTTGACACCATCACTTCAATGATTAAACATCCGAATACTGATTATACTGATCCTATGGATATAGATCTGAAAGAACATCCAGTTCATTGTTCACATGTTGAAGCAAAACTGGACGGTTTGCCATGGTATATTGATATAAAGAAGTATTTGGAGTTCGGAAATTATCCTGAAGGTGCTACGTCAAACCAGAAGAAGTCGATATGCCGTATAACTCTCAATTTCTTTATATATGGGGAAATCCTTTATAGGAGGACTCAAGATTTAGGTCTTCTTAAATATGTCGATGTCGTTGAAGCTGCCAAACTTATTGAACAAATACATGCTAGAGTTTGTGGCACGCATATGAATGGGCTCACATTGGCAAGAAAGATCCTTCGAGCCGGGTTTTCTAGATGACTATGGAGAATAATTGTTGCAAGTTTGTGCAAAAATATCATAAATGTCAAGTGCACGACGATTTGATCCAAGTGCCACCTCACAAACTTCATGCTAAGAGTTCACCTTGGCCATTGTAGCTTGGGGTATGGACGTCATTTGTCCGATAAAGCCATCCACTTTAAATGAACGCAGATTCATTTCGGTCGCTATTGATTATTTCACCAAGTGGGTGGAAGCAACTACTTACAAATCGGTAACAAAGAAACTTGTAGCTGAATTCTTTCACAACAACCTGATATGCAGGTTGGAGTACCAGAATCCATCATTACTGATAATGGTGCAAATCTTAACAGTCACTTGATGAGAGATATATGTGAGCAATTTAAAATTACTCACCGAAACTCAAGCGCTTATCATCCTCAAATGAATGGAGTTGTAGAGGATACCAATAAGAATATCAAGAAGATTTTGAGGAAAATGATTGGCAATCACCGAGGTTGGCTAGAGATGTTGTCATATGTTTTATTGGGTTATCAAACGACTGTCAAAACGTCGATTGGAGCTACTTCATACTTGCTAGTGCATGGAATAGAAGCAGTTATACCTGCTGAGGTCGAAATACCGTCTTTGAGAATAATCAAAGAAGCTGAGTTAAGTAATGCTGAATGGATCAGCAAGCAGATTGATCAACTAAATTTGATTGATAAGAAGAGAATGGTTGTCGTTTTTCAGGATCAGTTGTATCGACAAAGAATGATTCGCGCTTTCCACAAGAGAGTAAGATATAGAACTTTTGAAATCAGTCAGTTAGTACTTAAGCGCATTTTTCCTCATCAAGATGAGTACAAAGGAAAATTTGCACCAAACAGGCAAGGACCTTACATAGTTCGTAATGTATTATCTGAAGGTGCTTTGGTCTTGTCGGAGATGGATTGCACCGTGTAGCCAAAACCAATCAACTCAGATGTTGGCAAGAGATATTATCTGTAAAGTTTCAGGTTGTGTTCCTGTCATTTACTTGTAATTGTTCTATTTTCTCTTGTATTTGTTCGGTTTAAATTTTTTCCCTCTTGTAATTAACTACATCTGACCTGAATTCTCAAGAATTAGATACGTATGCGTCCTATGTCGGCCACGGTCACCCCATTTATCACCTTCAAATAATTCTATGTGTTTGAACAATGTTTGACAAGAATTCTCAAGATTGAGATACGTAGGCGGTCTATGTCGGCCTTGGTCGATTTCTTTGTAATTTTTCTTATTTTGTCAACCTTTAAGGGGGGAACTACGTTTGACCTGAATCATGTCTCAACGGGATACGTAGGCGCCACAAGGGCTCGGTCATATCTCCCATAAGATTTCTATTCCTCTCTACAATAGAAACTGGAATAGAATTTTTGAGAGGGACTCAAAAATTCTCGAGAAGAAGATTCTTCCTCGGCAAGTCAAAAGTAAAGATATTTTGAGATCTGCAACAGGGACAGAATTTTTGAGAAGATCTAAAAAATATCGCGACCTGCTCAGTTATACTGGAAAGAAGCAAGACGGTTAACTGGGACAGAAATTTTGAGGATGGCCTCAAACTTACAGGACGGGTTATCTACAAGTACGGAGTGACTCTGAAAACTCCCCAGTGAATAATCAGATAGACCTCCAAGCATCAAACTCAAAGAAGTTTGTTAAGCCTGATATGACATGACTTGACAGTGACCTTTTTCAGATAATATTTCTTAAAAATTCTTGTTTTAGCATAAAATATTTTGTATTATCTATCAAGAGTTGAGAGATCGGGAAATCAACCGGAGATAGCAGGACAAGGAGCAGACAACCAAAGAAATCAACACAGATGAGTTCATTTTTAAAACTAACAATTTTTCAGTGGGCGCAGGTTTACATTTTTGCTCTGAAATCAGCAAATTCTTCCGATGGATGGATATGAAGAAGTCAAAGGAGGAGAAGACTATCCCAAATTCAAAAGTTTTCCTAGATGAAGGAATCATTTTATATCTCTTATGTCGGAGACTTGGGAATATGAATTGTTTATTTCAATCAATTTCCAACAACACGAAATTTACAAAGAATGTCCAGCTAGATTCGAAGGTGAATCAAGCAAAAATCTCAAGAATGAGTTCACGGTTTTCGTAAAGGACGTCATTTGCATCATAATATTGGATATAATATTTTGCATTACCTGGAGGGATTAGTTATTTTATTGTCGATTAAGACAATATACCATCTGGAAGTCGTTTTGCCGCTATCATCATTGGAGACGATATGATTATCCAGATTGTACCTAGAAGATCACTATATTGCTCAAGTGATACACTATCTTCATTTAGTACCAAGGATGACATCAAGAGTCAATATACATGCATTGCGGAAAATTATGCATAGCAAGTCAATATCCTTACATCGCGGAAGATCATGCATCGCGAGTCAATATCCATGCATCGCAGAATATCATGCATCAGCGGGTCAATATTCATGCATCACGAGTCAATATCTATGCATCGCAGAAAATCATGCATCGCGAGTCAATATTCATGCATCGCAGAAGATCATGCATTGTGAACCAATATTCACGCATCACGGAAGATTATGCATCGCGAGTTAATATCCAAACATCATGAGAAGATTTCATACCTCGCAGAAATTTATGCATCATGAGAAGATTCTATGCCTTGTTGAAATTTATGCATCGCGAGAGGATTTCATGTCTCGCAGAAAAGTTATGCATCGTGAGAAGATTTCATACCTCACAAAAAATTACGCATCGCGGAAAGATATTAATGCCCCGCAAGAAGTCATGCACTGCCAGAAGAGGAAATCGTTCATCCCAAGAGAATTATTTTTTCATCGACATCAACTGCATTCTTTTATTTTGATAAAAGTAAACATCAAAAAGAATATCGAAGATAACGTCAAGAGAAATACTAGCACACTGTATCAACTTTCATTTATGTTGACATCAAATGAAGAGTATATTGAATACTATATTGCAAATATAAGACATAAGCTTTATTTGCTTTATGTCAAACCAATGGAGTTGACGTCAAATATTGAAAGAGAAAAACTAAGTGTCAACACGGTAAAAGACACTTTCTTCCATTTGAATTGCATTTTTGTGTTAATGAGTTTTATCTCAGGCTTTTTCGAGAGCATCCAAAATGGTGAATTCTCCTAAACAAACCACAAGTATGGACGACATAAAAAAGGATACAACACAACTTGAAACTTTTTCTTAGCAACGAAGTGGGACATAGTCCAAAGAGGAGTGTCAAACTCTTAGGCAAGAGCAGAGGAGCGACTTCCACAAAAATCAAACCACACCCCTATCAGAAGGCATGTGGATTTTTCTTTTAGTTTTGTCAGTTTTGGTCTCACATTCGGAAATTTCGATCTACCAGAAGCAAGTTTCGAATCTGAGTGATGATGCGCTAAGAGATTTGGAAATTATGTCCGTGTAAGTTTTTAATTATGGGTGTGAAGCGCGCCACATTCATGGCTAAGAGGTTACAAGCCTCCTTTCATACTTGATTAATTTTTTCACTTGTCAGCGCTAAAGGTTATCTAGCATAATAGATTTCCTTTTCATCCGATTGAGTCAAACTACAAGTAGCCTGATTCCTAAGGTATAAGGATATGTAGGCGGGTTCAATGCTGAAAACTCGATTGTGTTCCAAAATTCACTCTTGAATCTCATTCCCGAGTTTTGCGATCTCTTTATAATGAGTGTCGAGATGACTTATGAATTCTCTAAAAATCGTGTGTTAAATCAAGCATGTCGAACTAAAGTTGGCTTAAATTAAAATATAGCCTGAGATATGTAGGAAACCCATGTCAAGTGTTCGGTCATAATTTCTAAAGTTCGTACCTAATCCTTTTCTAAAAATGAATATGTGGTCGGTCAAAATTGGCTTGGTAAATTTCATTTTCCTTGAATCTCTTGCATCAATTCAAGTAAAATGAGGGACAGTTATTGAAAACCAATTTTTACCCTCCCCAATAAGACTTAATTCATGAGCTTCTAAAATTCTAAAACAATTTAACATAATTACTTTCATAACATTTTAAGAAAAAATATAAAGTTTGTACTATTTTTAATTTATATATATATATTACATATATATATATATTACATATATCAGATAATTATGTATATAATTTGTATATTTTATAATTATTCAAAAATCATCTCAAAAGTATTTTTATTCTAGTAAATTATTTAGACAACTGGTGTAGTTTAAATAATAATTTATACTTTTAGGTTAATTAATTTATAATTTAAATAATTATTTTATTTTGTTAAGATTAAGAAACTCATTAATTAATTAATTTATGTTAATCCATATTATTTAGTCATTACTGAAATCCTTAAACCCATCTGAAGACCAAATTCTCGGTCCCTTTTTCCAATTTTTCAGCAAAGCCAAATTTTGAACCCAATTTCCAGCCCACCCATTTTATACATTAACCTAGATCAGAATAAAATACCATATCCCCAATTCCATTTTCTAGCAGCCCAACCTTTTTTATATCAGACCCAACACAATTTTCAACCCGACCCATTTCTTTGACTAGTCCAAAAGAATACCCAGAAGGTCTTTAGCTTTTTCAAAAACTTTTCATTCACAACACAACTTCAACCCCAACAGGCATTACACAGCAATTCCAATGCTCCACTCAGCTCTTCTTCCATATGCGCGCACATCAAAAGCAAATTCTAGCCGCGTGCGGCAAGACGAGGTCATGAGAGGCAGGGAAAGATCAATCCTTGTGCCCCTTTGTTGTCTTCCCCAGCAATGGTATTGTCTGCAGCAGCAAGAGCACTAACAGCACACTAAATCGTCCTTGGGGCTGTGAGATCGATCCACGTCACCCCCAAGGTTGATTGGATCGATCGAACCCGTCTATCCCCTTTCCCATTTCGGTTTGAGTTTTCTTATTCGGAGAAAAGTTTTTCATTTAAAAAAGGAAAAAAAGTTTTGAATTTCCAACTCGTAATGGGCTTTTGATCCGATTCTTCATCTTTCCCCCCTCCCCCCCCCCCAAAAAAAAATCTTGAAACCCTAATCTACCTCATATATATACTTTTTTTGATATATCTTCGAGGGTGGTCCCTTTTTCGGAGGTCTTTTTTTTCTCTCTCTTTGGTTTTTGGAAACAAAAAGAATAGGGTGTGTTATTTTTTTGTTGGCTTTTGATTTCCTGAAATGTTTTTTAGGCCCAAGATATTGGAGGAACAACAAAAAAAATTCGGAAAGTTTCTTTGGGATCAAAATACACAGAGACATTTCAATGTTTGGCCAAAAGAACTCAAAAAAATCGTGTGAGACTCGTAGGTGTTCTTCACTTAGTAGCATAGTTTGAGCATATTTTTTTTATCTCTTTTGCATAACAAATACATCTCGGAAGAAAAGATTCATACTTTGGTTTTCGGGTCAAGCTGCTGTCCATATTCGTATTCTCCAGTCGTATTTGAGTTTTGTGGTTGTGGAGTCACTTTCGATGCACCCTTGCTCCAGTTCAGCTGCCCAGAAACATGTAATCCACTTCCTCCGACAATTTTCCTTTTATTTCTTTTTGTTTTCTTTTTCGTGTTTGGTTAAAATTTGGAATCCACTATTCTGAGGTTGTTTGTTGATAGTTGTCATTAGGTCGATGCTTGTTTTAGTATGAGGTGCATATTCTTGTTTTTTTTAATTCGTCAGAGATTGAGTACGAAATTTTAGCCGATTTATACTATTGTTGATGATCCATGCCTTTTTATGTGAGTGTCTTATTATTCATCTTATCTATCTCATTACTGAAAGTTGTTTAACTCTCCCTTCTATCTCTGCAAAGTTGTTGTTCATCAGAACGGATTTGTTGAGCTATGTTTTCTCTTTTCATTAGTATTGTATGATGTATGAAAGTCGTATATGTTTCTCTTGATATTTTTAAGC